ACTTTAGAAACAGATTTTGCTAAATGGTTTCATGCATTTGCAAACGAAATTATTTCAGTAATAGTCACCAGTGAACGTACATATTCAATTGCCTCCTACTATAACACGCAAAGTGCTGTCAAGCATGAATATTCTGATGCATTGGTCGAAGATGGGAATAAATTTGTTAATGCATTAGTAGACAACATTCAAGCTCTCACGTTCTTCATGTTGTTTGGCAAATTCTTAAGGCATTACGTTCCAATAATTAGAGATATGGCAAATTTTTACTTAAAAAACCGTGATTATTTACATGAAAGATTGGATCGCATAATTAAAACAAGAAGAGAAAAGATTGAAGAAATGCCAGTGGATACAGAAATGGGTTCCGATATGCTGACTTCCTTAATCACTTTAAACACCGAAAAGAATACTGATACTGCTAAAATAAAAATAGTGGACGGTGAGACGTTTGAACCTATGCCCGACGAAGAGATTCGAAGTAATTTGTTAGAGGCATTTGGGGCTGGATCAGATAGTGTAAGTAACATTTTCTTTATTTATTTACTTATATAATTTACTTATGCTAATTTATTACCGTTTAGACTGCCAACACATTTTGCTATATAACCTACTATGTTTGTAAACATCCGAATGTAAAACAAAAAATGATTTCAGAAATTGATTCTATGTTCTCTAAATCTTCTAATCTATCTTATCTAACAAGCGATGATCTCTTAAAGTTAAAATATTGTGAGGCCATAATTAAAGAAGCTCTTCGTATGATTCCCGTAGTAAATATGGTAACTCGTCACATGACTGAAGAGTGCGAAATTGCAGGATATAAATGGGCTGCTGGTACACTTTTTCACATAAATATTTCGGGGATACATAGCCATCCTGAAGTTTGGCCTAATCCTGAAGTTTTCGATCCAGATAGATTTTATAACGTCGATCAAGATGACAAAAGATTAAAAAACAACTATTCCTTGATAACTTTTGGTGGTGGTTTACGAATCTGCCCTGGAAGGAAACTGGCGATGAGTCAGCTACTTTTTTTGATGGCATCAGTTTACAGGTATTATAACGTTGAGTTGGTGAATATGCATGAGCCATTAAAAATTGATTCTTTAACGTCTAACAATGTTCCAGAGTTGAAAGTTAAAATTAGTCCTCGAGTTAATTAAGCTTAGTTTTACTGAGTTTCTTTATTCTATCATTTTCATTTATTTTCGCTGTATTTAAAATTCAAATAAATTTAATTTGATAATTAATAATATCAAAAAATTTAATGTTTATTATAGAGAAAATTGGGTTTTTCTTTATAATATCGTATTTTTTAAAATATCCTCAAATTAACATTAAAATATTGCCGTAGATTCTCAAAATAACAGGTATTGGCATTATTTTGAAAATAATAATACAGTTGGTTTTGAATCAATGCCATGCATTTTTACTTTTATAATAAAATATTTATGATAACCGCGAAGAATCTTCGGCTATCACGAAGATTGCTCAATACAATAAAAAAATTTATTATTGTTAATGTAGAACTTTTGCTTATTATGTTAATTAAAAAAATTGAATAATTAATTCAAAATAATGCTTATGGGTGTGCTTAAGATGCTCATTATTTCAAATTAACGCTTATGGTGTGAACCCGATTTTCGGGTCACGGGTCACGGGGACGGTGACCGTATCGAAGCGACGATCCTGACCCGATCCG